GAACAGGAGTGGTAGAGAGAAATGTGGAGTAAAAGGAGAAGCTCTTGAAAGTGTGACAGAGAGAAATAGATTAGAGAGATGAGGGAAGAGATAGTAATGTGAGCAAACAGACCACGCACTCAGAGTAATACAAATCAAAAAGTGCTAAAAAATGGCAAACAGCACACAAAACTTAAATTTTAACTACAATGGGCCTAAATTCACTTCAAGACTAAGTATAAAGGGCCGAGTATGATGCCTTCTGTGTCGCGAGCAAATGACTCAAAGTTAACAGTTCCTCAGCATTCAGGGAGCATTTTGCAAACACATTCAGTTTCATCGCTTTGAAAGATGAGGGGGAGGTGTTCATTACTCCAGGTAAAACCAAGCATTTTCAGCTTGTAAATTCAGACAAAGTACAAAGTGCTCTTAATGAGAAGCTTCACTGTCAGCTCCATTCTTTTTTTAGTAGATTAGATTGATATATCACAAATTAGCGATGCTCATAGTGTCACGGTACGGCATGGTGACGGAGAGACGATCCACGTAGCAGCTACAACAAAACAGGGTTTTATTGATGAGACAGAACACAAAGGGAGAACAGGAAAACAAAGGGACCATGAGGGGTCAGAACAAAACTGGTAGAACAGAAACTAAAGCAGGGAAAAACAACAGGAACAACAATACCAAAGACAGGGAGGAACACAGGACAACTACAATAACTAACACAGGATAACAATCAGGACTACAGCTAACAACCACACAGCTGCACAGGGCAACAGCCACACTGAACCAGTGAGGAACAAACCAAAACCAGGCACTTAAATACACTACTAACACGACAAGACGGAGAACAGATGAGAACCATAACCAAAACAACCAATCGCTAAGGACTCAGGATAACAAAGACAGGTGGGGTATATTACAATTAACAGACACTACAGACTAGGAGATCTTAACAAACACTGAGGGTTATCTACACTAGGAAAGACAAGGAAGAAAAACAGAACATTAACACAATACACGGGCAGGGTAACCATTAACAAGGACACAAAAGCAAAGACATATATTAACAATACTAGACGCCAGGGGATAAAATAAAACCAATCAAACAGGTGAGGATGGTGAGGGCCTCTAAGCCACACACTCAGCCCACTGAGTCACACAGCAGCGCAGGGAGCAGGGAAGACACACTAGGGCAACACCAAATGGGAGGGCCAGCGGGTGCTGCTGACCAAACTGGGAAAAGGCAGACGGGACAGGGCCAGATGGACACCAGCCCTGACACATAATCCCTAACACTGTTCGTGGGGTATAAGTCTCTTTAGAATCCAGAGTATGTGAGACACAGGCACAGGGGAGAGGAAGGACCCAGACAGGCATGCATGTTTGAATGTAGGTGCATATACTGTACTGCAGAAAGCTAGGCTCCTTTTATGTTTCGTCTTAGTACCGTTTCTGTGCTCTTACACCCAAATAAATAAACGTTTTAAGGGCGACACAGTGGGTCTCACTGGTGCCTCACACCTATAGGGTCGTTGGTTTGTGTCCTGTGAGTGTGGATGCATATCTTATTTCTGCAGTGTGGCTTTTGTCCGGTACTTGTTTTGTACTGCACAGTTCCTCATCCAGCCGGGGAAAGTCAGAACAATTCTAAGGGCCCCTGAGTGACTGCAGCTCTAAAAAATTTGGAAAACAATCCAATTGATCTGGGTCGGGGGTCCAATATAATTTGCTTTCATGGGGCCAAAAGTCATTAGCAGCACTCCTGTCCTCATCTGTGTATTTGCTTCCATACTTTTAATTAATTTTGTACTCAGTATGGTCAAATGAGTATGCAAACTCAGTACACATAGCTATTAACACATCTTGAGTCTGAACACCAACACAGTGACCTTCCAGCTTGGCATACATCACTGCTTTGTATCTCTCTCCTGCTCCCCAAAAAGCCTGCTTAACGAACACTGGATCCTGCACAGTCCCTGAGACTGGGAGCTAGACTGAACAGATACTTGATCAGTAGATGTTTTAGGGGCATCATCATTACTAGCTATCGCCATCTTAGTCTCGCCGCTAACTTTACACACTTTTTGCATTTTGCAGCCTCAAAATCCAACAGTCTTCTGTTGCTCTTTTCCTCCAGCTTCACATCTTATGTGCCGATACATGATGTGCTTGTGTCTCTGCCAAGTGAGCCGCCTTTTCACTATTTAAATTTTGCAGAGTCCCAAAATGAATTTAACACTGTGGAGAACATTCATGAAGTATCCTGGGCGATCTGCCAGTGATGGGACAGTGCTTGCAGAAACGTGATAAAGTCACCAAAAGTTTGCAGGATAAAAGACCGTAACTATAACGGATGGAAAAAAACACAAGTTCCTGCACTTCACTTTTATAGCATTCTTTCTAAATTAAAAGAGTTACTAAAAGTGCCCCCTGCGGTCTGCTGTGTTTGATTTCGATTTCCAGCTCCCCTTGGGTTCGGCAGATGTAGACGGCAGTCTTGCCACTAGAAGCTGAGCTTTTAACCTGTCTGCTTGACGTTTGGTATCCTGCATTAAAAAGCATGACGATCCATGTTTAGGCCTATTGATATTGAAGTTCAAAGTTATACATATGTACACACTCTAAAATACATATTAGCATACAATGAAAACGTGATTTTTAGCATAGCATAATCTTCTTGACAAATGAGTTTGAGTTTGAAAGCAAGTTTGACCATAATGAGCAGCATATCTACTGAAAGGTCCCAGCTTCCTCACCCACTGCAGGGTTACGTACATATTTTAATTAGTTTACAGTTTCTGATAGAATATAACAAGCGTGTTCAATGACAAAGCGTTGCTATGAGTTGACGTCACAAATGCATATTTGTCTTGGTCGAATTTTAAATGGAGACGGTGTGACTGAGGTTGACTGGGAGGGACTGGTGACCTTCCTGTAATAGATTCCTCAATGTTTTACCAGTAATAACAGGTACACAGACCACTAACTTGCTCAACAAATTATAGAGGCTACTGATGATTGGGTGGGGGGAATTTACAAAGAGGCACTATTTCTGTTTCTTGTGTTAAGAATTTTCTACTACCTCGATTAGTTCTTCAAGGTAATCCAATAATATATAAGGAAAAGTACATAAGTTAGGTGGTCAAAGAATAGAAAGAAAGATTCAAATAATTATTTAAGTACAACAGTGTCTGGGGAAAAAAGAACAAAGCTAATGAGTGTCCTAAAATTAGATAACCCAGTGATCTACTTTTTGGATTGTCGCCAATTTAGTGTTTAGCATTTGGTTTTCAGCCAGTCCTATGGGATTAAAAAAAATGTTAATAACAGCCTGGCCTCCAGCTGTGACCCGGGCACCCCGTCTTCCCTCCTCTCCCTCACTTCGCAGTTGACCAGTCTGGAAACCCAAACACGTAAAGTGGGGAGTCCCAGAGGGCCCGGGCAAAACCGACACGGGCACTAACGAAGGGGACGAAAGGGAGGGGAATGGGAGGAAAGGAAAACGGAGGGACCGTGGAAGGAATGCTTGCTAAGAGAAACAAGTTGGCTTTCGTTTGGCTAATGACCCTGAGACAGAAAACTAAAATGTATTGCTAATAACTTTGAAAGTACAGTGAAAGCAGATTTTTTTTTACATTTCTTTGCAGAAATTTAAATAAGAAATAGTGGAAAGAAAATCTGTCAAGAAAGTAAATCCAGAGCGCTCACAGGTTTCGTAGTTTCTTCTCATCGATAATCCAAAGGCGCCCTCTGATGGTAAGTATTGGTAAAATTTTAAGTAATCCTAAATCGGTCCTCTTTTTGGCTATTTGTGTTGAATGTGTCGCGTACATCGGGGCGAAGGTGGTTTACATTTAAAAATGTTCACCTGCAAGTAAAGGAGGCAGGAAAAATGGTAACAATAATAAAATGACAGCAGATCATAGTCACAGAGCCTCCAAACCCATTGTTACTTTAATAACATTAAAGGCATTTGTATCCAAAGTAAAATGACAAAAGATTGACTCATGACTGACTGCAGCTAAGGACATAGGAGATGAGCAACACATCTAGCAGGTGTCTTCAACAATGGTACGCAGGAATGCATGGTGGAATCATAGGAAGAAAGGAAGCTCTCACAGAGGATGCCTCAACAGATCCCTGGAACGCAAAAGGAGGTTATGAAGTATCCATCCATCTTCTGTATCCCGTTATCCTGTTGAGGGTCATGGGAAGGTCCGGAGCCTATGGGCACGAGGCAGAGAGCAACCCAGGATGGGGCACCTACCCATCGCAGGGCACACTCACACACCATTCACTTACACATGCACACATACGGGCAGTTTGGTAGCTCCAATTAACCACAGCATGTTTTTGGACTGTGGGGCGAAACCAGAGTATCCATAGCAAACCCCACAATGACACAGGAAGAACATGCAAACTCACTCCACACACGGAGCCATGGCAGAGACACGAACCCTGATTCCAACAGTGCTATCCACTGCACCACCAGTCCACCCAAGATATTTCATAGTCTGTTGCTTGTTTATTGTATATTGTTGTTCCTTGCATTATATATGACAGGAGTATGCACTCCTCTGCAGTTGTACATGGACAATAAAACATCTCAAACTTTGAAATTTTAATGCAAAATGCTGCACTATTTTCACTAACAACCAAATACTGAAACGGGTAAATTAAATGCCCAAATGACACACAGAGCCAACTGCAGCTATAGGCAGCTGGTTAGGGGCCCCACATTATTTGCGCTGCAGAGGAAGTGAAATGATGATCAGTTTTCTTGGAAGGGGGGCCTCCCAAGCAGAGCATCGCCTGGGGGCCCTGAAAAGGCAAAGCCGGCCCTGGTCACAGCTTGTGAAGTAGCAAAAATGTCCTATTATTGTCTTAACCCAACCAATATGTAAAAACAAATAACAATCTTCAAGCCAAATGTATGCAACACACAATGTTAGCAAAACGTTTAATATATTGGGTGTGTGTGGGGGAGGCTTTAAAAAGAAAAATCCGAAAAAAAACTAATTTAAAAACCATTTTATTTACGACTTTTAAAACAACCAAGAGAACGTGCTGTAAGCCCCACACACCAAACAGCAATGAAGAGCTCAGGAACCCTGTGTTCACATTAAATCAGATCTCCCAGCAATCATTCCTCAGAAGGTCATCTGGAGTTCTTCGCCTCTTCCTGTTCATTGCATCTAAGGCAGGGCATTCGTACTTCTGCGAAAGCATCTTCCCCAAGATATTAAACCCTCCTAGAGCTTCGCTATTTGGAACTACATACTGCATATGAAGATACTAAGAATGCTGAGGTCCCCAAGACGCGTGTCTGTGCCTTTCATGGATCGAAAACCAACTGGCTCCTTCTCAAATGCAAATGAACTCTCACTCGAACTCAAAGTGAGGGATGCTGTAGTGGAATCCATCTTTAATGAGGTATTCATCAGAAGCTGTCTAGAGTAGCTAATGTGTGGTCTACAGTGTCATACATTGGCAGGCATGAAAATACACAATGCCTTTATTTGGAGAAGTAAAGCGTGATTGGTTGTTTCCAATCAGATTTAATGTGGTTGGTAAAGTGAAACAATATATCGTGGCAGTGACTATCTGCTGTACCCTATTTGACTAGCATCAGCAAAACACAGGCGGCCTTCAGCAACAACAAAACAACTGCGATTTGTATACTTTCCAGTCCTGATGGACAACTGCTTTAAAAAGAATCAGAACAACAAACACCAACTTGAAAAATAATAGAGGAGAGAAGTGACAGCACAGTTAAATGCCTCCACTATGCAAATGAGGTTGCTGGGAAAGGTGTGAGTACGCCTGCAAAATGCCTGAAATGTCAGCAGTCTCGGCATTTCAGGTCCTTAAATGCTCCTGCTGATGGGTAAATCAGACAGCAAAGGTGACTGTGCATGCTGTGGTGAACCAGCCTGGAATTATTCCTCCTGTAACAATGAGGACATGAAAGGTGTTTACAGCAGAGCCTCCGTCTTCCTGTCAGGCATCACGTCATGGGGAGAGGCACCTTAACATTACTGATGATGTCACTGAGGTGCCGTTTCATTTTCAGGAAGTGCCTCTTGAACTCCAAGCCATCACCCTGACAATGACAACACCACAAAAAACAATCAACTTGAGCCCCAGTTAAAAAAAATTCCATGAAACAATGGAAGGAATCCACAAATGTGCTCACCCCATTTCATAAAAAAACAAAACAAAAAAAAACACACAACTCACCTTTGACAGCCTGAAGTCCACGAGGATCCTTTCCTCCATTTCTAGGAAGTGCACTTTGAAGATCAGCTTGTTGTTGCGACGATCCATTGTGGAAACCGTGACCTAGGAAACACGTGGCAACAAAGCATTGGTGTTTACTACCATCCATCCATTCTCAATACCTGCTTGTCCTACGCATTACTTAAAGATTGTACAGGCCGTCCCCGAGTTAACGTCTGACTTACAGACAAATCATATTTACGAACAGACTGCCATAAAGCCTACTATATTAAAAATTCAGGTCAAATACAATGGTACGTAATAATGAACACATGCACTACTTTGTGATGCTCATGAAAACACTACAATTAGCAATGCATCATCTCAAGATAAGGTACAATATGTGGTTAATTTTCTCATTACTGTACTATTATTAGCATTATGTACTGAACTGAACTTCAACTTAAAAACAGACTTAGGGACCAGATCTCGCTCGTAAACGGGGCACTGGCTGTATTTTTCATAGACGCACAGCTAACTCTGTTACACTCAGTATCCTTCCCGTCCTTTTTAATTGACTGCATTCATACCTGATTGATGCAGTTCTGCTTCCACTTATAGCCCAGGCTTACGCAGGCGTCCGTAAGGGCGGCAAAGGACTGCTCGGCCACAAGGGTAGTGAAAAACCTCGTCATCCGCCGAACCAGGCGCTGCCAGGGGTTCTGTGAAGAGGCGATCAGACCAAATGTCAACAGGGCCGGGAATTAAAAAAAATCGATTTTGATTCAAATCAATCTTCATTTGCATAAATCGATACCGATTCATAAAATATATTAATATATGCCTTTTACAGTCTGTAGCATTTCCCCCGTGGATGTGTGAAGCTTTAACCCCATTAGTCTCGCATGGCGAGAAAATCAATCATTTTATAAAACGAAAAAGGAGGTGAAATTTACCTGAAATAAACTATAGCCAAACAGAGCATGTTACTACCTACCAATAGAGTGTGTCAAATAGGTTTGTGGTGTTGCCGGGAGCTGTGTCAACAGACAGATATTCAGTGCTGACAAATGCGTGGCTTTAGGTGATGGGCAAAAAGCTTTGTCCAAATGCTGGCTTTTCAGTGCTACAGGGATGTTTACTTCCACCCACAATTTGATAACTTTTGAGTGTCACAACTGATACTGAATCAAATTGAATCAAATTGGAATTCAGTGGCTAAACTCAAACCTATCACAATCGATACTGAATCAAATAGAATCGAAAAATCAGTGGCTATACTCAGTCCTATCATAATAGATATTAAATCAAAATGAATGGAATTGGAAACTGAATCAATCTGGGGCCATAGGCATTGGAACTGAACGGATTTGGGAAATCAGTAGCTGTACTCAGCCCTAAACGATACGGGGGCCCTTTTAAACACACACAATATGGCAGAAGTGTGTTCAGTTTGCTGAAGATGCATATTTGTTTGGTGTCGGGCCGTTAATTACCTGACTGGATCCAGGGGTTCCCAGTAACTGGCTCCCCAGCAGCATGTGATCAGGACAGGCAGGCTGGGAGAAGCTGACCTGCGGCGCATCCATCAGGACGTGGCTCACACCGGATTCCCAGAACGGCAGGCCCAGAGTGGGTTCTGGCTGCGAGCTGGATATCTGCACCCTATCCTCACTGAGAGAAGCAAAGCAGACCATTTGGGGGGGGGCGGGGGAGGCTACTGACATCAGGAGCAAAGGAATAAAGAAAGCAAGCCCACTGGCGTACCTGCCCTCCCTGCTGAAAGGAGTCTGCTCCGAATCTGACCTCAGCAGCTTCGCTGCAGGTCTCTGCGAGTCACACTGCCTCTTTACAACTTAAGAAACAGAGAAAAAGACACACTCAGCCAGAGGCGGACATTTCAGGTCCAGGGCAAGGTGAAAGACTTTTTTTTCAACCAACCAGTTGAGTATAAAGAGTCACAGAGTTCTCAACTGGTTGGCTGTAAGAAAATCTTGGTCTGGACATTTACTTTCTGCAACTGAATTGCCCACCTCTGCCGTCGGCCCTCCATATCCGCATGTTCCAAATCCACAGATTTAATCAGTCACGGATTGAAAATATTCAATATTTTCTACTGAACATGTACCGACTTTTTTACAGCATAGAAACTATTTCCACAGCAAGTAATTTAGAGATGGTTTAAAGTATACGAGACATGTTGGTATCTGAAGGGGCAGATACTGACGGATGGGCTGTATACAACTATACAGAGACTATATCGTTCTATATTGAACTCCTAGTTCAAAGACAAGCAACAAAGAAGTACCTAAACTTCATAGAGAACATTAATCAATATTCTAATCAGATGAACACTTCTAGTTAAGCTCTTATGAAAATCATAAACATTCATGCATCAAGGAAGGTGACGTACCGGTTTTAAAGCCTCTGTTAAACCAGCGGTCTTTTTTGATATCAGGTATAGCAATTCTTTTCTCAGGGTCATGCAGAAGAATTTTGGTCAGCAAACCTGAATCACATCAGAGAAGAAAAGCAGTGTGTGTATCGGTGAGCAGGCTTCACATGCTGGGGAAAGTTTCTGTGAAATTAAACAAGCACGCAATTTGAGGGGCAGGGTTTAACTGAGAGGCAGGGCGTCGATCTTCTTCCAGGGCGTAATGTACGTTTTCTTCTGCAGCCAATCAGAATACTCTTGGCAGGTTTCAATAGGCTGGTCCCACGGCAACTCTGCAACAACATGGCAACAGTGCATCACCGAGGTTCAGGTTCACCACTTTAGGGCAGGTGAATATTTGGAGGAAAACCTCACCTCCAGCTAGCATGGCAGTGAGGACGATACCACAGGACCATATGTCAGCCGGTTGGGCGCTAAACTCCTTGCGTGACATGAGCTCCGGGGCCACGTAGGGCAGAGTACCGCACAGACGAGTAAGCTTACGCTCCCGCCCACGGTGACGGAACATAGTGGCCAGACCGAAATCGGACATCTTCAGGTTGTCTGACGAAAAGAACGAAAAAAAGATTTTCAACTACATCCTGCTTTTTGATTAGAAGAGCAATGGATACTAGAAAATGAACATTAACGTAACGGAACCTTTGTCATCCAGGAGTATGTTTTCTGGTTTGATGTCCCTGTGTGTAATTCCAACACTGTGAAGGTATTCCTGAAATGGACACCAGGGTGAAGACATCATGAGATACATTCCACAACACTTCATGCAGCACAAAAACATTAGAACTAATTAGATTTCTCAAGAGTATTAGAACTTATATCTGGCAGAACTAACCCTCCAATAGAGGTCATAATACTGCCAACGGCTTTTTATTAAATACTTCCTTTATTCTTAGTCTCAGCCTGTTATGCTTTAATATTGGTAACCAATGTGATTGTAATGGAAGCTGTGTATAGATCAGAAATTTAGCAGAGACATTTTCAATGTTATCAAATATTAAAAGTATGTGCAACGGCAAGAAAACACAAGAAATTTAATTTTATTATAGGTACCAAAGAAAAATAATACAATTTTGAATTCCTGGTGCAGTTCATATTATTATATGTTCATAATTAAGAGCAAATTAGGATGCAACATATGCATCTAAACGAATCACCCAGACACCAATTAAAAAGCAATAGCTTTCCGAAAACGGATTACAGTATAAGTTATTAAATCTCTACTGATAAGAAGCAAGATGCAACAGGTCTTTAGATTCACTTCTAAAATAGGCAGCTATCAAATTTACTCCCACTGCAAAGGCAGCCGTGACCCGGCTGGCCATTACCAGTTGTTTTCCAGCCGTTACATTACTGGCCATTACCAGTATCACTGTGGTATTGTACCTCCACCTGACTAATACTCACCACACCCGCAATCAGCTGCTGAAAAAATCTCTGAGCATCTTTTTCTGGCATGCCAACATCTGGCTCTGTCCCAGAAAAAAAAAGAAAAGCTTAAATATGCATCGCTGCGGTACTCCTCAACTCAATTACAAGCTATTTAGTATTAGTAAAACTGGGATTTCCTGGACATACTCTAAAGCGTTGTCTCAACTCACCAATGCGATCAAAGAGTTCACCTCCGCTGCAGTACTCTAGGAAGAGGTACTGTGTGTGTCCCTCACGCCGGTGACCAAAGAAGCGCACAATGTTGGGGTGGGACAACAGCTTGTTGATGCACACCTCCTTCTTTACATTCTCGGAGCAATCTTCAGCTCGAGACGTGTCCACCACCTTCACTGCCACCGCCTCCTCTGTCTTTCTGTTAACCAGCAGCCGAACTCTGTCCGTGTCAAGCAGGGGACAGATTGAGAGAGCAAACGGATGACCACAAATGCATGGATATGAAGCCTTAAAATCAACACCATCTATTTTACGTTTCTGTATGTTCAGAGAAGGAGGTTGCCATTCTTAGCCGCTGGCGCTAATGTAAACATGATGGGCCATATGAGTCACCGCGTTGCTGTAGTTGGACTGCTATGCATCAGTCTTGTTCGCTTCAGTATTTCCTCAGCAGACTCAAACTTGTTCATCGTGCATATGTTCCCTTGTACTATATTTGTTGGTATTTGTTGGTTAGTTTCAAAAGATAAATAGCAAGGTCCCGGCGCTAGTCACCGACGGGCACTGCATGTTTCCGACTTACTCTCCATAGGCTCCTTCACCTAGCGTCTGTACGAGGTCCCAGTCTTGGACAAAAGGCACGGACATGGTGCTCCTCCGGCAAATGTAAGCTCTTCAGCTCTATCCTTTCTCTGAGCACAGCAGTGACTAAAATTGACGCGTAAAACAAGCTAAATCAATACAGTATTTTACCACCTTCCAAGTACATTACTTGGGTCATATACATTTTCACGAAAGGGTTGTGATTGCCTAAGGGCACTGAGTCTAGCCAGACAGCCGCTGTCAAATGTATCAGTAATACTTACAAAAAACTCCTCAGACGCTGCAGTCACTGGCAACACAACGACCGAATTTTTCTTATTAAAATATTCATTCAATTCAGAAATCTCTCGAGTTAACTAACGGCACTTCTGTAAATATTCACAATACCAGTTGGCTAGTTACGTAACAATAACGACAAAAGAAAGTTTACACCATTCCTGAACTATAAATATAATATCTAGGATAATTAAATCAGCTAAAACAATAGATATAAAGCATATTTATTCAGACATTAACCAACTCGTCCAGTTCTCCGTCTTGAGGTAAACCTAAATTCAGCTGATTTAGAAACATAAAGTTAATTTAAAACACCCACCTATCTATATGATTAGTACTTTAGAGCAAAATATGCCTCTCAATTTCTTCCAAATTATACATGATCATTTTTAGTTAAACTTCTGCCTAAGCCTGCTACACGGCTAACAGTAGCCGAAAAAGCAAGATGCACACCGCACACGTCAGGCTCATTGGCGCGCTACATCAAACCGGTGTCGCTATTTCCGCTGTCATTGCGTCACTTCCTGCCAACCCGCAGCGCGAGCGGAAACTATTGATTTGCTGTTATGGCTGTTCGGTTATATCCCGCGACGTGGTCACCTAAATAACTAATTTATGCGGTTTTAAATAAATATATAACGATTTAGTATCGGGACAGTGATTCAATTGATAGATTTTCAGGACAGGGTATGCAAATCTGATTCCAGCCTCCAAAATGTTTAACTTCGCACAATTTAAACATGTTAACTCAAACCTGTTATTTGAAACCGCACAAACGTGACTGTGACTGCAAAAGCGATTTATTGAAAACTGATGATTTCTCCACATACTGCACAGGCTGGACTGGCATCTCGCCCTGGATGTCACGCCAGCCTTGTGACCAGTGTTGCTTGGGGACCGTGACCAGGGAAATGTTGCCTTTCTGTGCGAATCTGCCAGAACTAACCCTCCAATAGAGGTCATAATACTGCCAACGGCTTTTTATTAAATACTTCCTTTATTCTTAGTGTCAGCCTGTTATGTTTTAATATTGGTAACCAATGTGATTGTAATGGAAGCTGTGTATAGATCAGAAATTTAGCAGAGACATTTTCAATTCTATCAAATATTAAAAGTATGTGCAACAGCAAGAAAACACAAGAAATTAAAATTTATTTTAGGTACCAAAGAAAAATAATACAATTTTGAATTCCTGGTGCAGTTCATATTATTATATGTTCATAATTAAGAGCAAATTAGGATGCAACATATGCATCTAAACGAATCACCCAGACACCAATTAAAAAGCAATAGCTTTCCGAAAACAGATTACAGTATAAGTTATTAAATCTCTACTGTTAAGAAGCAAGATGCAACAGGTCTTTAGATTCACTTCTAAAATAGGCAGCTATCAAATTTACTCCCACTGCAAAGGCAGCCGTGACCCGGCTGGCCATTACCAGTTGTTTTCCAGCCGTTACATTACTGGCCATTACCAGTATCACTGTGGTATTGTACCTCCACCTGACTAATACTCACCACACCCGCAATCAGCTGCTGAAAAAACTGTGACCAGGGAAAGGTGTTGGCAGATCGTAAGTAATGTTCACATATATTTGCTTTTGGGTAATTTTATCATTGTAGAAATAGAGTCTTAATTTCTATTTAAAATGGAAAGGCAGGAGTACACAATGAATGAGATTCAAGTCATCCAGAGGTACATATTGGCAATTTAGAAACATTACATATGCACAAGCATAAATATGAGCAATTTAGAGATGCTAATTTAAATGCCATTAGGTGGGGGGGTTGGAAATCCACATTACACAGGGAGAATGAGTAAACTCTTCACACACACAGGGGAGGCAGAATTTTATGGGGGATGGGGGGGCATCATGGGTGGGAAGGAGTGGCATATGCAGTATATCTTCTTCATCATTCTTTTATGGCACCTTTGGGTGTTTTTTTGGGGGGGGGGTCACAGGTGGTATTTTGGGGGTTATAGCATAGTATAGTATAGTATAGTTTTTTTTTCTGCCTGCTTTTATTACCGAAATTACCTCACATTTACAAAATGAGAACAGGTGGTTCGTCATTTAGGGTCTCTACAGTGCAGTGGTTTAGGTGTGGCTCTGGTGGATCTTTGATCATAAAGCACTGTACAGTTATCTGTTTGGCAAAGCATCCCTACTTGGGCCCTGTGACCCATATTGCGAAGTCCACTTGTGATTTCTCTACCAAAAGTCTTTTCTGAGAATCCCAACACATAGACGAGATGCTGTAAAGACTAAATGTACAGAACGGTTTCATTATTGAATAATAGTTAATAATCAAGTGTTTAATTATATCACAGCTAAGTTGAATGTGACAAGCTGTGTACCTTCATCCTTGTCTTGCACTTAAAGGTTGTTATGGGTCATGAAAACTGTCATGGTCTGTTTCCCAGTCTACACGATCTTCTACAGCCCGATAGTCATTCAAATAATTAGTAATACAGGATTCCATGTTGAATCAGTCACGTGTACGTTAACTGAGTTTTGCAAGCAGCACCGTATCAAATGAAGTGAGTTTTTCTTTTCTTCTTTCAAAACAAATATCGCATTAAAATTACAATGGATTACACGAGAACCTGACACATTTGTCCAATTGCCGAAACCAAAATAGTTTTTTTTGTACTTCTGAACACGCCTGAATGAAACATTTCTTATGAAAAGAATCACATCCTTTTATGACAAATGAGATTCACTTACGTTTATTTTCTTTAACTATTTTTTTTCTAATTAATATATTTTGCATAAATAGTAGAAAACCACCCCTTGGGAGAGCAGGAGGAATGTTTTACTGCCTTCAGGTGCCACCTTCTGTGGTTTGTGCATTTCCTTTCTTGCCAGTTTCTCTTTCCTTCAGTATCGTTCAGCTTTCATCTCCAGCAACAATTTGTCTGCAATGACAGGCAGAGACACAGCCTGTACTTTACTCTCTGGTTTGGTCCCTATCCATGTTTTGCACATCCTTATCTTTGTGCTATTGAGATACTTCTATATCCAGAAATAACTACCTAAGCCTCTATATTCAGGACTAATTAAGCTTCAGAAATAAGAGCATTATCCTTTATCCAGCGATTTCCACTGGCATTCACACCATCGATTAAAAAGGGCTAAAGTTTTATGTTCAAGACTATGAAGATGAGCAGGTTTTCCCCACATTTCTTAAAATTATTAATAAATATAATAATATGTTAAACATGAAAATGCACGGGTTCTATTGATATTGCCTTGTATTTTCAAAATAGGGAAAAGTAAAATCTAAGAAGTCTGATACTGTAGCTTTTTATGGGATTTGATAATAATCATTAAAATGGCCCCTGTTGATACAGTGAAGTTCAAATTTTATCACAGTGATGCTGGTCATTTCTAAACCTTCATGTACTTTTCTTCGAAACACAGTAAAATATACAAGCGTCAGGTATTTTGCTATTTTGGGAGCAATGACACAATGAGAAGCAGTTGACTCTGGATAATTTTCTTTAAAAAAAAAACATAACCATTATCTTATACGTTCCTTTTTGTTTACTAATATTGGTTAAGAAAATATGCTTGGCAGTGTTGCCTTACTCATGTCTTTACAGGAAATCTATACACTTTCTGTATTTAGAAATCATACTAAATAGTAAATTTTAAGGTTTGACGCAAACCTCTTGCTAAATGGAAACGATGCAGGCAGATTCTGGGGATGAGCCACTGTTAGGCAAACAGCCTCCGCTGCAGCAGAGCAGTCGCTGTGACGAATGCGGAGCGGAAGCTGCTCGCGCAGTACAGGCTGTCAGCTAAAGTGATCCTGACAAGGCTGAAAAATGACGACCAGCAAGCGGAAACAGTAGCGGTTTTAGCAGGGTTAGTAGTGGCAGTGGGGAAAATGAGGCTTTTCTCTGTGGAAATGAAGATGCCTGACCTTTGAACTTGTAGGTGGATTTTCCAGGATTCTTTGTTGAATGCAGGGATTATAATACTGAAAGCTTGAGAAGACTAAGAGCACATTTGCTGCTCATTCATATGCATACATATGAATATGGATCTTCCAGTTTGTTTCAATTCATTGGAATAAAAATTATAATTTGAAATAATATTTTTTTTGTCTAATGTTTCCCTTTAACTTAAAATGGCCTGAAATAATCAGATAAGAAGAAAGAAGACACAGGTGTGAATGCTATTAAAACAAAATATATGACACTTCAGGCTCTTTGTTTTATTATTTTTGTTGTTATTATTTTGATTTCTAAGTAGCATTATATAACACGAGTTATATACTTTAAAATGTTGCTCAGTCATACTGAATTCATTCATACGAAATCATACTTAATTGTTTATAGTACTTTTCCATTAATTCATACAAATTATTAAATACTGTGTATGCATTTGTATGTGTATATCTATCTATCTATCCGTCTGTCTGTCTATCTATCTATCTATCTATCTATCAATCATCATCATCTGTAGGTTGCGGTGTGGCACAAGATTGCCACTAGAGGGAGCAATGATACAAGCATAAAGTCTGTAGCACAGTTTTGACGTCGCAGTTAGAGGCAGCACCTTGGTATAGAGCCTGGTGTAAAATAAAAATAAAAAACGCAACGTTGCATTTTGGGTACAAATTTC